AGGTTTGGACCATTTCTCATTCTTATTTGGTTGCTGCCATCGTTTCTCCCTTCTTCTTCACAGCAAATCCGCTGCTGTAACATCAGTCAGCAAACCCCTCCCCAGATCTTTATCTTCTTCAAGAGACCCCCATTCCCTTCAAAAGAGATCAATCAAAATCTACACAAAAAAGAATAAGAGGAACCACACACACAAAAGAGAAAAATGGTAGAGAGAACGCTTTTTGTTTCTTCTTCAAAAAAATATCGGCCATACAGACACTGAAGACAGAATACGAGAACTGAAAGAAGAGCACAAAAAAAGAGAACGTTTGAAAAAAAGAGCAAAAATCTTCATCTTCTTCAATAGGAAAATCCACCATCAAAGCTCCATAGCTATGGCAACAACTTAACCCACCATACAACACAGTAACGCCACCTTATCTCCTCCTTAAACCACTGGCTGAAACTGACCCAACTAGAATAAAAGAGCTTTAGTCAAGGTATGAAATTTCATTCTATGTTTTCGGCACGAGTCTTGGTCATGATTTGTTTGTGCGAGAGCTTAGCAGTCCTTCATTCTTTATGTATTGAAGATTATATTTGAGCTATTTAAAAGGTCCGTTCCTTTCCCTCTCTGTTTTTTGTTGTTCATGTCTTAATTGAGGTATATTACTCCTGAAATGTGCCACTATTTTTGGGTAAAATGTTGAAGGATTTTTGTGTGCATAGAGAGTGAAAGAGAGACAGTTGCAGATATAAGGCAAATAGAAATTTTATAGCATATTGTGTCTATGATTGCTCAACGTTGGTGCCAGAAATAATTAGTACTATATGGATTTCCAAAGTAGATAAATGAATTAGAGTTATCGATATGATTAATGGGTACCTAATTTGCTTGGTTTGGTTTGTGCGACTAAGGAGGAGTTTTAGAAAGATGAGGTGATATTGCAAGGCTTCTGTCATATTTTCAATCCACTGATTTTTGCCTTGGCTTGTTTTACTTTTATTCGTCACTTTTCACTATGTCAGTTCATTTAGTTCATGCCTTCTGGATAACTACCAATTAGGTGTTTATTTGTTTAATTTGTATATGTCTCTATGTTTACAATTTGATCTTTTGATTTAGCTTAATTGGATCGTGTTTACTACTGTTTACATGTTTATTTGAATGGAATGGTCAGGGATTTTGGGAGTTAATTGTTAAGAAGGATATGATCATAAAATCTCTTTTAGCAAAAGTGTTCCATAATCACAGGCCTTTCACCCGTAATCTCAAAGTAGTTTAGAAAACAATTCATAAATATCGTAGATTGCTTTAGGCGCGATTAATTAAATAATTATCATGATTATGGGTATGGTTCCTGTTACATAATTGTGATTTGTAATTACTAAAATCCGGGGGTGCATTTCATGTGACCCGATTCTAATTTCCAACAAGGTTAAATAGAACGTGTTGCGAACCGCGGCTGCATTTCATGTAGCGTGACTTGCGATATGTTTTAAATAACCTTGAATTAATTCTTTAAATAATTAAAAGTGGCTAAACGGTTAAAAAATATACATAGGTTTAAAAGTGTTTTAAAATCAGATAAATAGGCTAATAATAATAGTTGAACAACTGTGCTAGAACCACGGAATCGGGAATGCCTAACACTTTCTCCCGGGTTGACAGAAATTCCTTACCCGGATTTTTGTGTTCGCGGACCGTAAATAGAGTCAAATTTTCTCGATTTGGGATTTTTAACCTGTGACTTGGGACACTATAAATTATCCCAAGTTGCGACTCTAATTTTAATATAAATAATCCTGTTTCGATTGTCACTTAAATTAGAAAAAACTCCCATATACCCTTCGGGGGTAGGAAAAAGGAGGTGTGACAGCTCTGACGACTCTGCTGGGGATAAGAACCTAGAACTTCTGGTTTAGGGTTCAGAATTCGAGCTTAGAATATATGTTATAGTTGGCATTATTTATTATCTGATTTTTATTACATGTTTGGATCCAATGTGCTAAATGCTGCTTTTTGCCGCTTTGATATTATTGAACTATATATAAATTGTTGTGAAACCCTCCTCTCTCTGAGTCTTCTAAATCATCTGGGAAGTGTACACTTCGTGTGACTTCTCTTCTGTTAGAGTCATATTCCAATTTTAGAACAAGGTTCGGATAAGTTGCAAAGCCGGTGAAGCTTCTATATTCCCGATACGCTGCCCATCTCGGCTCGAGCTGTCCACTCGGGTAAGCCTGGTCTAGAACAAATAAACCCAGGTTTTTATACCTAGAATAACATAGCCTCATGCCGGATTCCTAATAAGAACGCTTGTTTGCATCATGTGCATTTGACTTTGGGGACTCAACACAGGAGTTGGGTCCGTCTAGGACAGGTGTACCCAAAATAACAGACTATCTTGATGCTTCCTTTGTGCTTCATGTTAAATTTCTTCAAGGGTAAAAGGGTCATTTGGCAGACCAATAATAGTTGAGGACAAATGAAAAAAGAAAAAAAAAAAGAAAAAAGAGAGGGTGAAGTGTGAAGTGTGAAAATAAAGCAAGTAGGGCCCAATTATGTTTCTGTCGCATTTTTGTTAAGAAAAAAAAAAGACACGAAAAATTCAAAAAAGGATTTTGCACTTTTTCATCATTTTCCGAAAATCAAAAAAAAAAGGGAAAAGAAAATCCAAAAAGAGTTCACATAGGTTAATTTTAGAAAAATAGTCACAATCATGTCTTGCAGAAAGGGCTATTGTCTCACATAGCGTTCTAGGTCTTTAACTTATTTGGTTTTAATTTTCTCATACAGGTGTGGATCTACTTACCGGAGTTTGGGCATGACAGACGCCTTAGGACCATCCAGTCAAGAACGCTCATTCAGGAGTTTGTTTAAGGATTTTTTTTAATGTTATGTTTTGAGTTTTTTTATGTCGTCTTTACCTTCTAGTTTTGTATAATAATACCAAGTCTTTTAGGTGACATTAGAGTCTGTCATAGGCTAGTTAAGTTTGTTGAGTCTTTCGTTATGGTATTTCCTATTTTGTATTTGAAAAAAAAAAGTGTAATAAATCAAAAAAAAAGATTTTGCGTTTTTATATTTCTAATAGATGTTTTCTTTAGAATACTAACTCTAGAAATTCAAAAATCTTTTGGGGTTTTCCTTAGGAAATTAATATCTAGAACTCAAAATAAAAAAATTGCTTTTATACTTCCTTTTGGTACATTAAGATTAAAAATTCAAAAAAAAAAGAATTTTCTTTTAGTACTTCTTTAAAAGCTTTCATTAAGATATTAATTCCAAAAATCCAAAAATATTTTCTTTTGAGTTTCTTCTTTGGGAAATCAATAAAAACCAGGAAAACATTATTCTTTTTATTTTCACTAGAACTTTAGGACATTATACATAGAAGAAGAAAAAAACATACTTTATCTTTTTTTTATCTTTAAAGTTTCTTCCTTAGGTAATCAAAAGCTGAAATCCAAAAATATTTTTTTATCTTGTTCATTTCTCGTTTCGAAATCTTTCTTCAGGGATATCAAATGAAAATTCAAAATATTTTCTTTGGTTTATTCTTTAGATTTCCTTCCTAAAAAAAGAATCAAAAAAATATTTTTCTCTTGTAGGGTTTTTTCCTTAATAATTTTCCATAGAGTATTTGTTTCAAAAAAAAATGAATGCTCGTTAAGCTTGAGTTTGGACTAGGTTATAGAACATTAATTCTAGAAAATTCAAAAAAAAAAGGATTTGTTTCTTTTATTTCTCTTTTCTCATCATAGTAGTCATTAAGGTAAAAAAAAAGAAAAAAAGAAAAAGAAAAAGAAAATGTTAGTTTGTTTAATTTATTTCCGATTTTCCCGAGCTACGCAAAGATCTGATTCATGCGGCGTCATGAAACGTAGGCAACCTACATTGGGTTCGATCGAATCATTTTATTATTAAAAGAAAAAAAGAAAAAAAAGAGATGAAATTATGAAATGTGAGAAATGAGAGGAAAGAAAAGAGTGATAACTAGAAAAAGAACAAGAAAAAAGGAAAAAAAATGAGCAAGCTAAGAAGTGCTAGAAAAGAAAGAAAAGAGAAGATTGAAATGAACAAATTGGGATGATGCCAAGTGACCTTGTGACCCTAAAAGTCATTCTAGAACCGTTAATTGTTGCTAGGTGCATTGCACGCAATGTGATATTTTTAGTTGTTAAATTCCCTAATGCTAACAGGATGTCCCATTTTGTTCCTTTTGTTATCTTCATTGAGCAGAAGGGTGGTTGGTTTGTGGTTTTTTAAGTAACTCTTCCATATAACACAAGGTCAAAGAGCAAGGTAGCCATGGCTGGAAAAGAGTTGGATAGAAGGGTTATTGATCTGTCTAAGGGAATTATTGAATCAGAATCTGAGTCGAAAGAAGAGGTCCAAAGGGTGAAACAGCAGATGACAGAAATGTATCAGTCTTGGATCAAGGGGCATCCTCCACCTTCATTCCCCACTAACTACACTGAAAATCCTGCAACTATCCCATCAATATCACAAACCCAGGTTCCCACTGCTATTGATATCTCCCCACAACCTTTTCAAACTCCACCCCTCAAAAGCGCATCATATCCCGCACCTTTGGCCACTCATGCTCTTGTAGCTCCTCCTCTAGCTATTTTTTCTCGATCCTCTAACGAGATTGTGTTCAAAGTCCCGATGTCTAACACTATGCTCCAGAACCAACTTCCAAGGTTTCGGATCCCTACTCTCACGCTCCTCATTTTGAGCCTCCCGGTGAAGCTGAAAAGCCTGCTAAGATAGTGGAGCAAGATGAGATATCCAGGAAGGTGAAAATCTTAAAGCAGTCTTTAAGAAACATGCAAGGGATAGGGAGCCAGATAAGCATGGCTTACAAAGACTTGTGCTTGTTTCCTGACATCCAATCGCCTGCTGGTTTAAAGATGCCGAAGTTTGATTTGTATGATGGACATGGAGATCTTGTGTCCCATTTGAGAGGCTAATGCAGTAAGATGAGAGGCGCCTATGGGAATGACAAATTATTGATGGCATATTTCAGTTAGAGTCTGAGTGGGGCAGCTCTGTAGTGGTACACCAGTCGAGACGTTAGCAAGTGGTACACATGGGATGATATGGCTCTGGCCTTTGCCCGACACTTTTAGTACAACATAGAAATTGTCCCAGATCGCATGTAACTCACAAAGATGGAAAAAAGCCTAATGAAAGCTTTAGGGAATACGAGCTCTGATGGAGAGAGCATGCTGCTAGAGTCAATCCCCCGATGGAAGAAAAAGAGACGGTCGAGTACTTTCTTCAAGCTCAAGAGCCAACTTACTTTGGGCATTTGATCACGGCTGTGGGTAGGCATTTTAATGATGTGGTAAAAATGGGAGAAACGGTAGAAGATGGGTTGAAGTCGAGCAAGATCATGAGCTATTCTACTTTAAAAGAACAACACAAGCAATTCAGAACGACACAAGAAGCTTGCTGGGTCAGAAGGAACATGATGATGTTGCCATGGTTGTTTTAGAATCACGACATGGTCCAAAGGGTCTGCCTCGCCAATATACCCAGCCTCAACTCCAGCCCCAAAACTATCCCCGAGCTCCACATAATCCACCTCAATATTATCCTCCGAACAATGTCCGGTCATCTGTCCAACCACCAGGTCACTCCCTAAGGCGAGCGCCAACACCGCATAATGCATTCTTGCCTTCACACTATTTTCGAGCACCCAACAACCCTAGAAAATAGGGGCAGGGAGGGGAACAAAGACAAAGAAATAGTTTCACGCCAATCAGGGAGTCCTACACAAGCTTGTTTGAAAAGTTAAAGCATTCTGGCCTGGTTGAGCCACTCCTTGGCTATACTCCAGACCCATATGCAAAAAGTTTTGATCCTACTGTACGATGCATGTACCACTCTAACGTCCAAGGGCATAGCATTGAAGATTGTCATGCTTTGAAAAGGGAAATAGAAAGAATGATTCAAGAAGGGGCAATTGTGATCAAGGACAGTGACAGGGAGCATGCGAATCCTCTTGGGAACTTGCTGACTGAAGTTAATGATGTTGAAGTTGGTAATGGTCTTGGTCATATTGATGTGGAACCCAGTGGCTAAGATGCTATGCTTGGTAATTGGAAATACGCTCCATCTCTTGGCTAGCTGGGGAGGAGTCTTGGTGGTTTATTTTGTTGTCATTTCTGTTGTCCGGGTTATTTTCACGGTTGTAATCCGGATATTGTCTTGTGACTCAAACCTTTCTTTCCTTTTATTTTACCTAGTTTGTTTAGTCGTAGTAGCCCGTTTAGTGTTGTCTGGTTCGTTCCAGGGTTGAAACCCCAGTTTAGTTTGCTTGTTTTATTGTTCAAACCCTTTTACCATCTCTCTAATGCAATTTCCTATTTTCTGTTATTTCTAGCCAGTGTTTGTTTAGTTCTCTTTCCCTTTTATAGTTCTTTTCCTGCTGACTCGAGTGACATGACATGCATGCGCAATTCTCAGCCTGGTCTTAAAAGTTAGTTTAATCATGAAGCAATGAAATAATTTTGAAGATGATAGGGACATTTGAGGGAAATAAGTAAGGCATTTTGAGATCACTTCAAGCCGTAATTGTGTGAATCTGGGGCAAATAGAACATAAAGAAACACTATTGAAACGCATCCTACCACATCAGGTTGAAGCTAAAGGCAAGTTTTCCCCAAACTGGCAGGGGCCGTTCATGGTAATAAGAGTGTCATCAAATGGTGCTTTGTATTTAACAGATGTAGAAGGCAAATGTGTGGATATGGTTATCAATTCTGATGCAGTCATAAGATATTATGTATGATTTCTTTGGTTTGTTTAATTTTGTTGTTTGTATTTGGCATGCTTTGAAAATTGGAATGATGAAGACATTTTATTCTGCTATCTAAACATTCTATCCTTTGTTACCCCTTTGAGCCTTATTTATTTTCTTTCATATCCCGCTTTTGAAATCAGAAGTAGAGTTTAGAAATATGATACAGAAAAAAGGAGAGAAAAGAAAAAAAAGAGAAAAAGATAAAGAAAAATGGAAAAGGAGTAAAGAAAAGAAAAGAAAAGAAAAAGAGAGAGAGAGAGAGAAAAATACAAAACAAAGCAATTCCTATGTCATGAACTACGTTTGACCTGATTCCTTTTAAGGATACGTAGGCAGTCTCACGGTTCGGTCCCATCAAAATAAAAATTCAAAAGTCCCCAAGCAAAGAAACTGGGCCAGAAGTTATGGTTGTTGTAAGAGATCTAATTCCAAAAGTTGTAATTTTGAGCCCTTTTAAGCCGTTTTGAGCCTTTATCCTCTCTTTCTAACCCCATCCAAAAGCCCACATTACAGTCCAAAGAAAGACCTTCCGATCAATCTTTGAGTAGTGCCAAGACCATCGAGTTAGAGGTATGATTCACATTAGGGGCAACACTTCATTCTGCACAAGGAAAACAAAAATGAGAGAGTCTTATTGGTGAAAATCTTCACAAGAACCATAAGGCGAGGTAAGTTGAGAAAAAGAAGAAAATGAGAGAGGCTTTATCACATGTCACGACCCAAACCGATGGGCCACGATGGGCGTCTGAGTCTTACCTGTCAAACACCCTTAAGCATGCGTCTAAAATATGAACCTGAGTAACATCTGCTGCATTACAAAATTAACATACGTGAAAGAAGCTTGCCATCAAGGCATATGTACGTATACAAGCAGAATACAGTGGGCGAGCCGGCAAGGCTACTATAGACAATTATACATCAAAAACTGAAAGCCGACAAGGCCACATACAACCCAACTAGACATACTGTCTACAGACCTCTAACAGAAACATAACTATACAAAGACTGGACTGAGCCAAGTCATACTCATATACATATATATGTACAAACGTATCGTACCAATATCGAAAGCAGCTCCGGATCAAATGGATCACGCCAACTCTCTCTAATCAGGGATCCTAAGAAGGGGGACCGTCAGCTTGCATACCTGCACCTGCGGGCATGAAATGCAGGCCCCATGAAATAGGGCGTCAGTACGAAAAATGTACTGAGTATGTAAGGCATGGAAATTAGTACGTAAAAGACATAGATGAAACATGGAATACT